TCCCTACCGCATTAACTTTAGAGATTTTTCTCTTACTTCTCTCAAGTAAACCTGGCTGTTACATCATCCAGAGAAAAATGACAACATATCCACGAAGAGGATTACCATTACTACACAGTTATTGAACCACTAAGCCTGTATGAGCTTTGTGTTCGAAAACAGAGACAAGTATGTTATACGGATAAAGAAGTTAAATCAATGTGGTCATGACAGTGATATTCATCGCAATATCACTACTTTAAAATTCCCTTTGGTTTTGCTTTGGTTATTCGCTACCTCTAACCTCAATCCCCATCCCTATTCCCTATACGATACCGCTGTAGAATGAAATAAAAGCATTTTCTCTCCCTGCAGTATTTTGAGGAACGAAGGAAGTGAAGCAATGGGAAATTTGAGAACTGCATGCACATCTCCGATAGACATGCATCATGCATAAGGCAAAAAAAACCAACAGTGAAAATGCGTGAGGAGGAGATGGGAAGAAATCTGAAGTTGTACTGTACCACGCTTTATCACAGAAGTAATGGACTAACTTCTCAACTCCTTGCCAATGGCATAATGGGAAAGCAGAGACAAGAAAAAGACAAGGACAATGATGTCAGAGGACCAAGACAAAACAATGAGCAATTGCCATGACAGCACTGCAACTTTTCACCATTTAAATAGCAATTACCATGTCCCCCATTGGGTTTTAATCCACTTTCCAGAAACAAAGGTAGCAATAGCATTGAAGTAATGCAGTACAAATAATAATTATAGCAAGACCCGCTCGGAATACCTCCGCTCTTATAAACTTGAAATCTTTTAACACAGTTCATCTCTTACACTTCAAATACTGTTTAGAGCTGTAACCAGAATTTGTGCATACAATTACAGCTGTGTATATCCAAAATATTTGCACCCATGGACATACATGTTAGGTATCTAACAGCGAACAACAATGCCATAAGATACACTGTGTTACATATTTTGACCACGTTGCCCATACTGTTTAATAACCCATCTTCCTAGCAACTTGCTCATGAGCCTGAAGAGACTCCAAACTACCACTTTTTTGGGGGTTGGGTTGTTGTTGGTTTTTTTGGGGTTTGTTTGTTTGTTTTCCTGGCAGGGGGCAAGGAGGAAGAGGCCAGACACAACACAAACTCTGCTACATAAATTTTTCATTTTCTGATCGGTCCTGACATCCCTTATCTCACTGCTTTGGTGCAGAATAAGCTGTCATTTCACAGCCTTCATTTGAAGGCATGGCCTGTCTGAAAGGCTACACCGGAAAGCACTAATTTTCTACCTCTGGAAAACATCAACATTTCACACCTTAAATCTGTAGCATTTGGCAATATCTTAAGTTTAGATTTTTTTTTTTTCTTCTCCTCCCTTTCAGGTAGCTATATTATACCCACAGTTCAACATTGTAAAATACGATTCCACAGTATGGAGTATAACTTCAAATAATGATACAAAACAACCCTAATTTTTTTTTTTTTAATGGAGGTAGTAAAATAATTGGTAATATGGCATAGCATTTTTTTTTCTGCATAGTCTGTATAAAAACCCCAACTTAAAGAAAAATGCTGCCTTTTTCCAAGAAAAATTACTAAAAGTAATATGTAACTACATCAAGGCAGGCGTTTCATCCATAAATACAGATATATGTCCAACAGGCAAATATGACCACATGTAAAATTAAGTTTCGTTTGTAAATATATACTTAATTAGGCACAAGAGACATTACTCATAGTCCAATCTGCAACTACCCAACCTGGGAGAAGGGAGTTTTTCTTTAAAGACATTTCTTCATATAGCTGAACACTCATCTCAGAGCAAAAATCAATACATATAGTGGACAGTAATGTAATGATCCCATTTTAAATAATTTGCCAACTCTCTTAACATGAGCCATAGAACTTCCAAGATGTTATTCTGAAGCAGCTTTGTTCTGCTAACACCAACACTTTGCATGTGTTTGCAAGAACCTGAATCAAGTTTGGAAACATTTTGTAGTGTTAAATAACACACCCTTGTTTAAATAAAAAATAAAAAAATAAAAAAACCCAACCCCCCAAAAAACCCCCCAAAACCCCCAAGCATGATAAAAGCAAAGTCTGGACCTGATTTATAGTCAATGTGCATACAGCAGCTTTCTTGCTGGTGATAAAAAGCTATGAGAGTTCATAACTGGTTTATCGGCAATGTGTACTCTAAATACTGTATTTCTAGAGATGCATCATTAAAACTCCTGAATGCAAATGCAAATGTTTAAAATTGTATTGAAGAAAGTTTGCTATGTCATCAAATCATACCCTATAACCAAGAGAAAAATAAAGGACCGCTACCTAAGAGTTGAGGTCAAGACACATATGGGAGTTATAGGAATAAAAATATACAATTTTGTTCATAAAACAAGAAAAATCAATGTGCTATTATGAAAGTGCTTACAAAATACAAAATGTTGAATTGTTTCCAAGGCTGTTGAAACAACATGAAGTTAATAAAAGTATTAAAAATTAATTCTCATTGAAAGTGCAAAATATATATCCATCCTAAAGCGTGTTAACAAAGTGCAGTGACACGGCAAGTTCATCGGGCAGGTTAAGCAGTAGGTACGCTGACATTGCAACTGCTGCTAATAGAGAAAGAACTGTAAGCATACGATAGCGATGTAATATTACGTAGCAGGGATATATTACCCATCCTGTACAGCAGCAGTAAAATTATATTACAGTATATAAACAACTAAATATGAACAGTTCACAGATTTATTCTCTCATAATCTACAGTGCTTGTAAGTGATCTATGTATCCATCAGCTATCAACAACATAGTGAAGAAACCTGCAGTATTCACAAGCACAGAAGATAGTTTAGGTTCAGGATCCGGAAGTTAAAGGAGAAATACTTGAATTCCAAGATCTCCAGACAGGAAACACAGCCAAATGGAAACTGAGACTACTTCATGTTCCTACCACCTTCTCTATAGTACTGCAAGAGAACACTAACAGTGACTTTAAAGCTGTCGTCTTATTCTCGGTGGTGGTACCCAGCTCACCACTTGCCTCGAAACCCCACGTGTGGGATTCCATACTAGCTCAAAAGCCAGCAGACCTAAAACCACTGAACCAAGGGTAATGTGGGAAAAGAAGGATGCTAGTGATAATTCCAGTAATGTTCTACTTTATGGGACTCTTCATACAGCGTTAAATCATTGATTTTGCAAGACTGCCAGTAAAAATGTCCAAGAAACCTCCTAATTTATACTGTATTTTTCTTCTCAGTATTTATGTTTTGATCAAACCTAAGGCTTAAAGAAAAAGCCAGGAACACTAAGTTATAGGAAAGATTTATTTTCCTAAGCGGTAGGTTAATTATAGTTTAGGTTAATTAGTCAATGGCCAGTTTTCATCTACTTTATTTCTTTTACTAGTAATTCAGAGAATTTAATGCTTATAGATGTGTACTAAAAAATCCAACCTGCTTTAGCAATGGAAGTTTGCTATGGGATCCCTGAATAAGAAGCTGCTGCCATTAGTGGAGCAATGAGGTGGGGGCTCAGAGAACCGGTAAGAGATTAGCCAAGTTTTCTTCTTTGGTTAAGCAGTCCGTGTGAAGGATGCGACACCAGAGGCACACATCTGGCGGCTCAGACACCACCCTCCCATGCTGACTCCCCAAACCGTGACATTTATATGCTCCTCAGGTCTCAAACCAATCTTTTTCAATTCAGACTCTCTGCTGACAGGACATCAAAATAGCCAGGCTGTGCTACTGCGGCCCTCTGCTCAGGAACAGAAGACGTGATGATCAGCTTTAGGGGTTCCACGCTCGTTACACACACACACACCAAACACCACAGGAGAATGAAGCACATCCCTCCATCGCATAGAGAAAAGCCTATGAAACAGGCTGTGCGTTCCTGATGAACTCTTTAGATGAACATTGTCACAGAAACTTCAAGAGAGTATTTGAAACCCAATTTACAAAACAGTGTACAAGATTTTTTTTTTTTCTTGTAATAAGTTAGGATTGTTGCAATCTGAAATATATGCAAGCTTCGTTTTCCAAGGTGCTGCTTGCGCTTCAGATCTCCTGGAAATATTACTTTGTTTCCATACTTTTACTTTATCCTTTATTTCTTGTCCAAATACACTCTTGGGCTTTGCTAGGCAGTCAAACACACTGTAATTCTCAAATTACAGTACATTTAAAAAATATAACTTTAGCTTTACAAACTAGTTATATTTCTTTGAACAATTATCTGTTTATAATGCAATACCAAAGCACAAAATAAGACTTACCATTTCTCTATGTCTACGTAAGCATACAGTTTTAAAATCAGCAATTGTCTTTTGTTTTGCAGATCCAAGCCAAGAGAACAAACGCATCTTATATCAGCCCACATTGTAGCTAGCACATAAGGAATGTTAATAAATCATGCAAGTTTTGCAACAGCCACTTCAATGTATTAGAAGCCTTTTTACAACAAATACCGAGAGGGGGGGGAAAAAAAAAAAAATTAGTTTCAGGGAAGCCATTCTGAAAAGTTGAGAGAACTTCTCATGAGAGGCAATGAAAACGACGCTTTCTCATCAACATTTTTATGTACATCCACAATGTATTTATGTAAATACATCCACATATGCACGCATGCAGACTCATGAGCAAACAGAACACATACACAAACAGGATAGTATATTACAGCCATGAAAAGGAAAGGGAAAATGCAGCAAGCAAGATTTATGTTAAGACAAGACGGGAAACAAGGGCCTACTTGGGTTTGCCTGAAGAACCGCTGAAGTAAATCAGCGTTTAATAACTGTTATAAAGCTATAAGTTGTAGCTGCTTATACGCTGGCTGAAGGAAGCATTTTGGTTAGCCACAGACTATCGTGTATGCCTGTAAATCTGCCTGAGAAAGGAGGGTACTACGAGATGAACAGTGCGTGCAAAGGGGAAGCTTCTACTGGAACACGGTGAGGGAGATGAGTGAGAGGTACAGACTCACTCTGTCTGCGGTGCGGTGGAACAGTCCGAGGGATGCCCTGGAATGAGCCCTGCCAGGGAGAGAAGGAGGGAGCAGAATACCCACCCTGTGCAGAAAGAGAGAGGGGGAGAAGTATAATAAAAAAAGAGAACAGGGAAAAAACAAGACACCAAAAAGCCACACCATTCTTTTTCCCCCAGAAAGGTATCATTATATTTCCCAGTTGTTCTACTTTGTAAAAGCAAAATGCTACGTGCTACTAAGCCCAGAGGAAAAACGACATCATGATGCCCTAAACTACTCAGATATCTTACAAAATACCTCCATTTTTGTTCAATATATAGGCACACATTTCTGTTAAAGATTTTTTTTAAGGGAAAAGTATAGGAGCTGAGCTTTTCTTGTTAAAAAAAACACGCTAAAAATTGTACTTTTTTTTACAGCTTTGAAAAATGTTTTAAAAATGCATCACCAAGCAGTAAGTTGCTTAATACTAATCTACCGGAAAAGCAGTCAGCTTTAGTTTACAACAAAAAATTTCTAATGCATAGAAACAGATTTGCTAGCAAATCCTGGTGCTGTAGAGTCCACTTCACTGATATTTTGGTAGCATTATTAAATGTGAAAGAGGAGAGGTGACACAACTGTTTCCCTTGCACTTTGCTCCTGGAGCTTGAGCCTTCCATTACAGGATCAGAGAAGCGGGTACGCCCGTGCCGTGCAGGGTTTGCCTGTCAGATGTTTCAGATCACCACAGAAGTGACACACTCTGGTTGCTGCGTTCTCCAAACAAGAAAGTCATTTTATGCAGTCTATCATTTTCTCCATACCCTTACCTTTAAAAGAAATCTATCCAAGCTGGAACTGCCATCTTAAATCACATAACCTTGATTTCCTATTTCAGCAAGACAGGTTTAAGTCTTTACAAGCCCTTCACCGTTCAGCAGCTGAAAACTTCTGCTTTTCTGAGTTCTGGAATATTAGTGCTATCAGTAATGACTGCCATTGCCTCCTGGCTACCAGCAACCAGCAGATACCGACAGCAACCAGCTGGCATAAGATGTCTGAATGAACCTCTACATCAAAGAAAACAGGAACACGGTTTGCTCCTCCTCCCAAATTTTGCTGCTGGCATACCTGCTGCAGATCCTACCACCAGGGCTGGACAAACAATGAAGTAGTATTTTATTTCCATGCTTCTTTTAAAAGAATGTTAAGCATCACGTTATTAGTATAAGAAATACTCTGCTTTTATTTATCCTAGCAAAATTTTAAATCCTTCTCTGACCTTCCAGTTATCCTAATCTAGTTAGGTTTTATCCACCACTACTCCAAGTTTCAGTACTGCTAAGATGTAACTTAATAACACATGCTTTTAGCCGAGTCTTAGGATTTGCTTGCCAGAACATTTAGAACAGGAAATAAAGAAAAAATCTGACAAGACTTCTTCATTCTTCTTCAGAAGCAGAGATAAAACAATTATCGGAGCAAAAATCAAGGAAAAAATGAAAGAAGTTCTTCAATCTGATTATCTCTAGCTGGAGATATTGATTACCTAATGTGTTCTTACAGTCCTCCATCAGTAGCCATTAACATCAACACAATTTGTAGACTGCTGCGTGAAAGAACAACAGTACTAGCTTCAGTCAAGTAGTATGACAAAATATAATATGTTGCATCAGCTGAGTAGGTATTAAATAGAGAAATACTCCTGGGAATAAGATTAATCAATCAATGATTGACAAGGCATTAACAAAAGCTTTGGATTTTCACAGCAGTGTACAAAAGAACACTTCATTTTTCAGGCTTGTTCACATTTCATCCTAACTTCAGGGTGGTGGAACAACAACAAAAAAATCTTTCCATTTTCTAAACATTTCATCCTAACTTCAGGGTGGTGGAACAACAAAAAAATCTTTCCATTTTCTAAATGTTAACTGAACCTCCAGACAGTAAAAAGCCAGGTATCATCAGGGATAGGACTCATCTTGCAGAGACTGGTTTGAGTGGGCAATGGGCTTTTTTCAGATTTCTTTGAAAATTTTAACGCATTAAATTAAGAAGGGAGGTGAAAATTTTATATCCTCTCCCTTCCTCTCTCTAAAAGGAGCGATTAAGACAAGTACCAGCCATACATACATAGCAGATACGATACTATTGTAAAAGCAGAGAACTATTTAGATGTCTTGATACATTCCAGTAATTTTTAAGCATCCACATTAGCACTTCAAAGCACAGCACTAAGTACAGTCTTCTCAATAATTCTTCATGGTATTTACTCATTGCTCTGACTAGGGAAGTAAATGAAGAAAGCACAAGTAACTTCCTTCAGTGATTTGCCTGCTAAGCTGGACAGCTGCCCAGGCCCGGTTCAGCCCCCTTCTCCCAAATGCCTGAGAACGTTCTCTAATCTGGGAAGCAGAAGAACTAGCTCTTCCTCTGGCAGCAGTCTCGAGAGCTTACGCTGCTCCACACAGGCAAGCGTCAAATAAGCGTCGGATTTCTTATTTAGAAAAAAATCTTAACAAACATTGTTTAATTGTACATCAAATAAGGTAATTAAAATTAATATCAATTGAACCAAGTAAGTACCAGGAAATACAGCAGTGGGAATTTATTAAGATGGGTATTATCAATTACGCTGACTTGACAAGTGATAAAGGTTGTACCGATCCTGTAGATACAGGACAATAAGACAGAAGTATCTGGAAATAAGCCTGGCTTATGAAAAGATGACTTGTCTTTTAATAGTGTTTTACAAAACTCCAGCAAATTTACAAAGCTTTCTCCTTTAAATCGGAACTCACATCCATCCCCTTCTATTAGTCAAATGTACGCTGAAGTTCCTAAGAAATCCAAAGAACAGGAAAAAAAGACACATGCACTAATAAGCAGGCCTCCTCAGATGATGGTACATATTCAAAATACACAGAAAATGTGGCAGTTTCCCACTAAATATAGGGTAGAAGAAAATCCTGAATCACAATTTATTTTATGCTTGATTATTAAAAAGTCTATTGTGCTCATAAGCCTGCAATACTAGAATTTAAAGATAAGAACAAGACTTACCTCAGCTTCTATGAAAAAAACCCCAAACCAACAAACATTTGATGGTGGTATTCTGGGTTCTTGAAGCCTGGTCTGATGCAAGTCTTTCCACTTGCACTTTAATGTTAGGCAACAGTCAGAACAGTTCCTCCCCCAAGCTGTTACATGCAGCCAGCCACTAAACTTAAATCCCATTCCTCTCATTTCCCAGATACTGGAATTGTGAAATAGCAAGAACATCCCAAAAGATAAGCAATTCAGAATTTTAAACACCAGGCAAAACAGGAGACTCAGGAGTGGAAAAATAAGAGCAGCTGAAATAAAGCAGCCTACAAGCCAGAATGAAATGATGGATGTTCTGCAGAGATCCTGATGAATTACACAATTGCTGCTAAGCGCTTTATGAAGTTCTGACCCTAACTGCACCGGAAAACCTGTTGTGTTTTGGGAGGGTTTTTTTGTGGGGTTTTTTTGGGTTTTTTTTTGTTTTTTTTTTTTTTTCCCCCCCTCCTTTGTTTTAAAGGCTACTATGAGGATATCAAGGCCAGAGTTTCCCATTGCTATGAAGAGACTTCAGCCTTAGAATAAGCAATCACATGAACAAAAGCAATTGCTTCTGCCAGAAAAGGATAAAAGGAATATTTCCAAGTGATTGCTGCATAGTAATTTTAGGCCAATGGCCAAATATTCCAGCTCTTTTCCTGAGGACACACCTATATACAAAACTGCTACTGCTTTACAAAGTCTTTTCTGTTGCAGAAACACGAATACAGGAAAGATCCATTTTTTATC